GATAGATGAAAAAATGGTTCTGTACTTTGTATGATCGTATATGAATCCCATGTAAATAAATATTAATTTTTGTATTATTTCGATGTTCCTAGTTCTGCAGTTACCACTGATGCAAGTAACACATAAATTTAAAAAAATTATAGTTATGTTAACTAGATATATTATAGTTCAAAAGTCAGTTATTAGAAGCATTAAGTTTACGGTACTAGTGTTTAGGCCAAGTCAATTATCTATTTAATGTTATCTATATATGAAGTGACAACCGGGACCCCAAAGTTATAACCTGTTTATGTGTATCGGTTATGCGTCATGTTTTGATTAATACAATATTAAAATCCAATTATTAATAATAAATTTCCTAGTAAAATTATTGATTTAATAATATATATTTCGTCCACAAAGGAACGCACGTATTCTATGCATCTTCACAGGATTCCCTGCCATTAAGACCAGTTCCTCTATGTGGCCACAGCGTGTTCTTTCATTGGATAGAGTACCTTCACCTAATTAGGTATTTTTTTAAATTATTAATAAATTATATTTCATAATTTGAATCACAAAATAAATAAGATAAATTACGTTCATTTTTTAAACACTAGTCTTACACTCAACACTATTACATTAGTTTATAAAGTTCACTTAACTTTTTATTATGTATTATTATGTACAATGTACATGTATAAATTTATAATATTCATATAATATAATGCATGAAATTTAATTTTTAATGTGTATTTACTACATTTATTACAACTATTTTAAAAGATAAAACTATAGTTTTTATCTATATTTATAAACTTAATAGACTGTAAACTGCAGTAGATCTAGACGCAACTAGAGGGGAGCAAAAGTGTGTTTAGCTCCCCCTGATTCAAGTTTAGCACCCTTATTTTTTTATGCCCAACTATTAATTATTACAGTTGTAGTGAAATACCATGGCTCTGTGAGGTATTAATAGTTTAAGCACCCCACATTTTAAAGGTCTAGTTGCGCCTATGTCTAGATGCTTTGTATTTCAATCATTTTCTATGAGATCCATACATCTAATCCTCACGAAATAAATTATGATAGCACAGGTATTTCATATAACATATTAAGTACCTACATATTGATTCTTCAATGCATTGAATATAGGTGTGCATAAAAAATAATAACTAATATATTGAACTATAAATTATAATAATATTATATTGTTTTTAAAAAATTAATATAAATATTTAATTTATGAATAGACAATTAAACCTATAAACACACATGCAATTAAAAATAAATTTATAATATAAATACCTACCTACTTAATATTATGGTCGATTTAGATACATGTAATAGGAAGAATTCAAGAATATGTAAGATTATTTAAGAATATAAAAATAATAGTTATATAATAAGGTTTTATTTATTTATAATTATAGGTATAAAAACTAATTAGAAATAAGAAAATCATTTTATATACATACCTGCCTGGTGCTTACTTAATATATTAATGATTAATGATTAATAATTATAAATTAAGAATTTAAACTACTAACATTTTTTAAGAATACGTAATACCGAATGGTGAATAAAGAAAATCACCAATAAACCGGTTATCGCCGGATGTCCGTATTATATTTATAATTACTAGAGTGCGGATTTATATGTATTAAAAATTCAAAAATATTTACATATATATGTATTTATTTTTATCCAAACATGCAATTAAAAATACAAGATATCTAAAAAAAATATTTTTATTCTTGAAAAAAAATTATAAAATAAGTACGAGTATATAGCTATATAGGTACGTAAATATAAATTATACAACACTACATTACATTATTATTTTATTAAAATTATGATTAGGAATACATTTAAATTAAGTACTTATTCATTTGAGTTAGGATCTTCTTCATCGTCAACAAAACAATTGACAATCACATATTATTTGTTTTTAGGTTGTCAAAATCAAAATTAAATCGACATTAATTAGGACGCAATATATTTTTATAGCGGCTAAAGGGACATTTCCACGTCGATGGAACTTATTGAAGCAAATTTAAAAGCTTTTAATTCAGTTTAATTAAATTCAAAAAAAGTTTGTGTATCGCTGCCGTTGTGAATGTTTGAAATAGCTTCAAGTGTCTTTAAACCTGGGTTTTTACTAAGTAATTGTTCAACTTTTTTTTTTTATTTTTATTCCGACCTCCCCAGGGGCTTCTTTCAATTTTTGACGGTTAAGTTAGGTGAATATTTAACAAAAATATGTAATATAAATAAATTATATAAAAATATGTAATTAAAATCAAATATGTAAAAATATGTAATATCAATCATAGCTTAAAATAATCAGATAGTCCTCTAACATATTTCTATAAAGGAATCATTCGAATATTATTATTCTCGACAATATGTAAATACATATACAAATTCACACCCTAATAATTCACTACCTATACATTTTTATTATAGTATCTATACTAGCGTCTTATTATATTCGTTATCGTTTATAATTTTGATATTGTCATTCATTTTTCCATTTGGTGACTATTTTAAACCAGGGAACGATAATAACTGTCTAAGGAAAATAATTTACAATTAATAAAGATACCAAAGTTTTTCAACTGTGATGGACACAATTTTTTTTTAATCTAATAAATATTAATTTCATAGAAAGCTCTAGTTATATATATGTGAAATTTTAAAGATAAAGAGTCTAACGGATTATTATTATTATTAATTAATAAGGATACATTTATTCATTTATTAGCATTTTTTGTAGGTGTATTGGTCATTTTTAGTCGTTATCAATAAACTATTTAGAGTGATTAAATAACGGTTTTGGATTTTGTTAAACATACTGAGTCAATTATAATAAGCAAAATTAAATCATCGAGTTCAATTAATTTAGTTGGTGATTGGGTGGATTTATTCGAAGATGAACTTAAAGGTATTGATGGAAAAGCTCTGAAAGATATAAAATCAATTGATTTTCAAGAAAAACGAAAATAGGCATAGTTTGTATATTACTGAAAATAAATCTGTAAGCGACAAGCGCTATGAAAAAGTAAAAACTTTGAAAAGAAAATCTAGAGAGCAAACTGAACAAAAAATTTAAAAATAACATTTTAGTAGGTATCGTGTTACGTGTTATTTATATAAATACCTACTATGAAAAAGGTAAAAATGACAATAATTAAAATAAAATATTTTAAACATGAATGTTTGTTTTATTTCTTCTCAATCGGTTAAATTTTAAATTATTTCATCTTAAAGATAAAAATGTTATTACTTTTAACTATAATTTGATATTATTATAGTTCTATAATAATATATTCTACACTTGACACTTACTTTACAACAAATATAGTTCCCAGGTTTTTCTTAATACCTATTCTCCGATCCCATTCAAATGAAAAATTTCAGCGTAGGTTTATCACTGTTATTATCAATCATTAAATATTAAATCACATGTGTATACTTAAAATTAATTTACAAATATTTATTTTAAATAATATGCTAAATTATTCAAATACCTATTAAAATGCAGTATGGGTAGGTACATTTTATATGTTGGTATACTTCTGTTGACTACCTGATTTTAGCTTTATTATTTTATGTACCTAATTCTCAAATTAAAGTAAATAGTAAATAGTAAAAATTAATTAAGTTTTTTACAATACTTGCCTGTCGTGTAGTAGATATTTTAGAATCTATTGTATATTACCGGCTACTGCAAGCATTAGTAGGTATAACCTATAGAACAATGCAATAACCATTTTCTTCCAAAGACGAGATAATCAAAATGAGATATTTTTTCCATTTTATTAATTTTAATGATTTATTATTATTTGGTTCTATAAATATTTTAATGTTTAGGTAAACATCAAATGAAAAAAAATTAAACTTAGAAGAACATATTTTAATATTGGAATTTTACCGCACTATCACAATGAATGCAATGTACCTACTACCTAGGTACTAGCCACTAGGTGCAAATTAATACGCATTGTGGTCGGTGTGAATATCTTAAATGTCGTATAATCGTAACAGATAAAATAATGTTTTATTGTTGCCAATTAATAAATTTTAACTCATCAAATCACAAATAACATAAGTAAACACTAAAATAATAAAATTACAAATGTATCACACTGGCCTATCCTGTATGGTGTAGCCCGTAATAAATTAAATCTCACTAGATTTAGATATTTACACTGTTTAAAACTGTTAAATGAATAGGTATTACATGTATTTTTAACATTTGTCATTGTAGTTTATACTAAACATAGAATAAATATCCTAAAATTATATATGTACAATTATAATGATTATTACAATGTAAATATATAAAGTTAAAAAAAAAATTCAACCAAGAAAAAAGTTTTCTATTTCTACCTCTTTTGGAATGGAGTTTTGAAAAAATCATTTCTTAATGGGCCTTTATGACTACATCAGAAAATGAAATTACTGACCAAATAGCATACTCATAGTTTTTGTGGTTCCAACCGGGCAAAGATGAAACAGTGAGTGAGTATATCTTTGTTTATCTAATGATAAATTTTGATCTTGAGAACGGTGGCATTGAGAATTTGAGCCACCTTGGCCACCCTATATTTATGCCATTTCCTCAATTATTTTAACATGACATAACCTCAGTTCAATGCATTGAAATTGGTTACTAAGGAAATCTGAATCTAGCAGTAAATTTTCTCCAACATGCTAATGGTTACAAATTTTAAAGGTAAAAAAGTTTGAGACAGTTATTCAAATTAGGTTTAATTAGATTTTTATTAACTCTATTTAATTACAAATTAAAAGAGAAATAGCTTAAGAATGTAACAAAACCATTTTAAATTAAAACCCATAATTTTAGTTCACATGATTAAATTTCAAAAAGTTATTTATGTATTTATAATTTGTTATTAACTAATACTTCAAATAATATAATATAATTAATGAGTTATAAAATTATATAATATAATACATTTTTTAAATAAAAAAAAAAATAAAAATTACTTATATCAAAGTAAAAACATTTTATATAACTTCTCATGATTAGGATCTTTAAAATGAGGAACAAAATTTATTTTAACTATTTCATCAATACCTTCACTTTTTGATGGTTCTTGAAATTTTGAACTGAAAAATAGTATACAAATGTATTTATAATAATAATAAATTAATACTATTATGATGTTTTTTTTTAACATAATATAAATCTTCTTGCCGATTAATAGATAAATAAGAAGATTAAAAACAGGGCTATGCAACATTTTATAAGTCAGGTTATTAAAAATAAAATAAGTGTACATAAAATTTAATAAAAAAAAAAGGTTTATAGGAATTTTTGGAAATTCAGTAACCCAATTTAGGAATACCTTATATGATTTAATATAACTGTATATTATGTAGTTATTCTTAAACAAATTTTGTAATCTATCATTAATATTCAACTGAAAATTTAAAATAAGTTTTACCAAATTGACAAAAAAAAGATAGACGAGTATCACTCTACTAGTCTACTATATATTAAATGTTGAGTGTATCACTTATAGGTATGTTCAATTTGAATTCAATAATTTATCATTGTAAATGAAAAAAGATTTTAAAAATTAATGGTCAGCCTAATATCACCAATTGATAATGTTTTTTTTTTTTTGATATAGCTATATTTTTGTTTTTATTTGGGTAATACCTTTTTTTTTAATTTTAACAACAAAATTTACAGTTATACAATTTAACACAATAAGTAGTAGTGATAAGGTGATTTATACATAACATGAAATATGATACAATATAGGAGGGCTTTCAATAGAGCTACATCCTTGGATTATTTGAAATTGAAAGGAATAATTTTAATAGAAGAGGTCTTTACACCACTTTCGTTTGAGTTTGCATATGGAATTGTTTAGGATGTGGTAGGAAGCAAGGCGACATAATATGTCGAGATTAGTATGGGAGCTATATTTTTTGTGAAGTTTATGTAAGTGATTTTTGTGACTTGGTTTACATAATTTATTTTCAGGTCAGAGTGTTAGGTTTTGTTACTAACATACCAGGGAGATTCTGTTATAGTGCATAGGCAGTGGCGTAGTGAGTGATATATTAACTGTGGGCAAATACATATTTTTAGATCCCTTCTACAATATTTAGTGTCAAAATATTTTAATTTGTCGATTGCATATTTTATTTCATTTAGAATGATGTGTTCAAGGGATAGAGAAGCAGGTAGAACGCTGTTTAATGATTGATTAAATTTAATTAAATGTGTTGGATTTGAATACTTCATAAAAATAATTTGTAAATGTGTTCAATTTTTTAATGCCAAAATGGCTAACTTATTATTAGGTTATTTTAATGATGGAATTTGTTCTTAATGTTTTAATATGTTTTTCATTTTAAGCCAGAAGGAGCCATTGATTAATTTAAGTTTAGTAATAACTAGTGTTTATTTCAGAGGGGAATACCCCCTCCCTGAAAAAATGTAAGACTTACTACGTCAACAAACAATAAAATTAAATAATTATTATGATAAAGGATTGAATATTATGTATAAATAACTTGTTTAACTGCCTTTTTTTTATGTCAGTTAGTCAATTAATGTGTATCGGCATGAATCTAACTTATCTTGTTGTACCTATTGTGCAATGGCCAATGAAATAATCGATTACTATGATTTATTATTATTATATATTGTGTGTAGGTCTAATGTTTAAAATGTAAGTACTATTGACCATGCAATTAATCATTAATTATGGTCACTTCTTATGTGAACAAAAAATAAAAAAATAATTTTGTATGCAATTTAGATTAATTTTTACTTCCCTTTATTATTTGCTCTTATTTTATTGTACACCTTGAAAATTTACAATACCTCCTTCATGGGAAAGAAAGTCTGAATAAGCACTGGTGATAATAAAGCAATTAAAATAGTTTATTTTTCTTATGATTTTATAGAAGGTTGATAAAGTTATTAAAAATTATTGCATTTATTATATTATTAGTATTTAATTATTATAATAATATATATTTATGCAGTATTGTAACAACTTATAAACACAAAATTTTCTTTCTATAAATACCGTAAAATAGTAAAAATAGATTCATAGTATAAATAAATAAAATGAATAAAAATGTCATTGGGTATAGTAAAATTCATAATAATAAATATTATTATTTTATACTATAAATTTTATAGTAAAAATTTTAAGTTCCACCAATAATATTTTAAATTATAACTAAATAATTAACATATTGCTATTTATTGTTTAAATAAGTATTATCGTCCAATGTCCATGAAAAAAAAAAATGTATATATTTTTTAGATTCTATGGTTCCAATATGAATTAACTACCTATGAAAAATTTCATATTAAATTTTCAAAACTTAAATACAAAAAGAAAAGTTTTCGTACATTTTTAATTATAAAACGGTCTAATTTTTTGAGATTTTGACAAATTTTGTAAAGTTCTATTTTATAATATATATATCAAAAATTGTTGTGCCTATATATTTTTAATATTTAATATTATAAGATAATCTTTTGTAGGTTTTTTAATCTACATAAAATTTTATCTAATTAACTATTAACATTATACATAATAATTCAAAACAAATCAATTATTTTAGACAAAAATTAATGTTCAATAAATATTTTATTCAAAATTTATATCTGTTATACCTAAACCTACAATAAATTATAGGAACTTTTATTTATACTTACAAGTAAAAATTAATTGCAGCATCTGATATTTTTTGGTGTTTTTTATCAGTCAATTCTCGAAACTAAAAAAAAAATATATATATATAATTTCAGATTATTTTTTTTACATATAAATACTTACATTTATAAACTTATTAAATAATTTATACAAAAAGATTTTTTACAATAGTTTGAATTTTACAATGATGAACAAAAATAAAGTTCTATAAACAATGAAATAAACTTAAGATATAATAGAGGAAATACTTTTTTTAAATATACATATAAATTTGGGCTCTAATTTGGTATGTGCTTTACAGGTTTTGCCCATTCTATTTTCAGACTGTCGAGGAATTTGTATACACAACTTTTATAACTTATTTTTATATTATCTAAACCAGCGTTTCCTAAACTGTGGTCCATGGACCCCTAGGGGTCTGCACATATTATATCAGAGAGGGTCTGCAAACGTAAACTGAAAATAGTATTATTATTGTTTTTAATTTTTATTTAGAGGATTCACAATCATTTTTACTATCTCTAAGGAATCTGGCAGAGAAAAAAATTGGGAAACGCTGATCTAACTAATTATATAGAAAATTAACTTCATGATATATTAATGTACAGATTTTAGATAATGTTTTAATTATTAAAAAGTAAAAAAGACTTTAATTTATACTTACTTTATTGTTATGTTTTCCATGATCTTTGGATACATTCATTAAAAATACTCGAATTGGTATTTTTAAACTTTTAGCTACATCAATGAAGCGTTTTCTTGATTCTATATCAGGATTTGTATTGTCAATCACTACACTACAATTACTATCTCTTAAGTATTTTTTAGCTTCAGAAACACATTTTTGCCACGAGCCTAGTGTATCTCTGTTAATTATTTTCATATGACCATGACAGAGTAAATTATTTAATGCAAAATAACTTTTCCCTGAACCAGGACAGCCAACCATTATGATCATCTAAAAATGACTTTAATTACTATAGTCTGTCACAAAATAAAGGTAATACATCTTGACAAAAACCAAATAATCATGTGCATCACTACACTATTCTGTGCCTAATAGCCTTATCACAAATAGCCTGGCATCTATTAGTAGCTAAATCTACATGCACAAAACAGTATCTTTTTTTTGTGAGACCAAACTATTTAAAAATATTAAAAATTGTATGATGAAGAGGTCTTACTTCTTTATTAGGAGAAATCAAAACTTTTGATGTTAAATCTGTACAGAGAATATTAGCCTTAATGTCATTTGGATTAAATTCTGGTAATGCATACAATTTTTCAGTAGGTTCTTTTAAAAAGAATTCTTCAGGTGTATAAAATTTGAGTCCAATATTCATGGCAAATAACCGATCGCAACATGAATGATCTTTTTTAATTAGTTTACCATCAAAACTAAAACGAGCAGATCGGCCTGCTGCATCACCACAAAAAAAACTTTTATCTATGTTAATTGGTACACCTCCATTGTACTAAAATAAAAATTAAATAATGTAATTTATTTAGTAATATAAAAAAATAATCTTACATCAGAAACCAAAATATTCCACATTCCTGGTGCAGGTTTTCTATTTATATCTTTTTCAGTAGCTATAAATACTTGAATAGGTACTTTGAGTACTTTGAGAATATTTGTAATTTTAATTTTAAATGTAAGAAAATTCGTTTTTGACTTCGAAATACCTCCTTGATTAGTAAATATCACTATTTTGTAACCGTCATCTGACAACTTGCTAATAGATGTAATAACTTCAGGGCTATAAATTTGCCAATCGTTCTCATCAACGGGGAAAACTTTACCAGACTTGGTAACAATAAGTGTTCCATCCAAATCAAATGCTGCTATCTTGAACAACAAATACAAAATAAAAATAAACATTTTTAATTAACAGTATTAATTAATTAAACATTTACTTTTTCTTTATGAACAATATTTGAACTATTATACAACATCATTGAATCATTTTTGTATTCCCATATAGAAGTAGAATCTGAGCGAGGTTTTTTATTATAAATTTCTTTATCTAAATAATTGGTGGTCCTTTTATTAGAGTCTACACCATAAGAAGGAGGTGTTACAAAATCTAAACGATAAGTATAATTGCTATTAAACAACAATGCCACTTTGTCTCCATGGTTTAAAAGTCTCTTTTCTCCTTTTATCATAGATTCATTATTAACAGCTGACTTGTTGCTACCTAATTGTTCGACCAATACTCGAGCCGTAGAATAGTCAGCTATAAATTTCACTAAAAAAATTTAAAAATTACTACATACCAGTATATAAATTAAAAAGTAAGTTTATACACAATATTATCCTATGTTTCAGTTTAATTTAAGGAACCAGATTTAAAAAAAAAAAATGTTATGGGTTAAAATAAAACTGTGGTTACAATAATTCTTTGTAAATATCATAATATTTTTAGTTAATTCTTAAACATGACCATCATACAATTGTTTAAAAAAAAACACTAATTATCAATTTATCTAGGTACCTATAATAAAATATAAATATAAATATTTTTAATGTTATAGGTATAGACATTAAAATCAAATCACTAAAAAGTACACAGTGACCCCTACCCCCTCAAAAAACAAAAAACTAAGCCAAAAAATGTTTACAAATTATAACATAATATTATAAATACATTAATCGCTTTGCTCAGTATCTAAAATAATAATAATTATAATAAATTATTGGATAGTAAATATGCAATTTATTGAAAGGTATATTGAATGTTTAACTATAAATAGGTATATACTATATATACTTAATCAACAATAAAAATTAAGTAAACTGTACTAGGTATCTTAAACCAGTCAAAATTTAAAAATATCAATTATTGGGTAGGTAATAAAAATACTATTTATTGAAAGGTATTCGAATAATTATTTCAGTATTTAAACATATGCATTGATCCATTAGTATATACTAGGTAGTTGGAGTACTTCTGAAATTAAAAATTTGTTAAATTTTATTGTTTATATAAAGATTTAACATAAAATAAAGATTATGACAAGTTATAATGGTTATATTTATGTGATAAAACATATTAGTAAGTAAAAAACAACTTATACTATAGATATAGAACAATCATATGGCACTTGTATGGATTTTTATACCTGTGAATTTTTTTTTGTAGATATTTTTTCCAACTATCACTAAAATCAATTTTAAAAAGAATTGATGTGAATACAATTATTTGGGTACTAGAAACCAATTCCATTGAAAAAATATAGACGCATATATTATTTAATTTTAATAGTGTTGAAACTATTTTCCTGCAAATCTAAACAAGAAACATACCTAGTTCACATTTTTTATAAGATATATCACAGTGACATTTAGATAATTGGGTGTACCTACATTGTTATAATTTTATCACCTCTGGAACATCAGATGGGATTAAAAACAAATAAACCCATGTTATTGTATAGGTAATAAAATACTTCACATATATACCTAATTTATATTGAAATGTATAGGTAGTATAGGTAATATCATAGAATTATTTTTAATTTACTTTGATTTTTTGACAATCTTTGATCGTCTATTCCAGTCTGTAGTGTTCTACCCAATATTAAAGGTTCATTGTCCAATAGTATAAATTTTAGTTCTGGATTTTCATCAGATACCAAAACACATAATGTAACATTGTCATTGGACTTCACTGACAATTCTGACATATTAAACTGAGCAAATATTAGGTATATCTAAAACTTAAAAGTGAGTCTATAGAAAAATCTTTAAAATCTGTACCTCAAATACTATGAACAAAAACTTAGTCAAATATATTTTAAAAATTCAAATTATTTAAAAATTGAACTTGAAAATTGATGCCAAACTGATAAGTGATAACTGACAGAAGGAAATTAATTGTGACATTATTTTGATAAAAAAATAACGAGATAACAAATAAATCTTACCAATCACGGTTAGTCGTTAGATCATAAATATAATATAATATTTTTTATATATCTGTGAATCAAGGTGGATATAATATATCCACCTTGCTGTGAATTAGGTATACCGTATACGGTATACCTAAATAATGTGACCATACTTTTTCGGGTTTTCCTCTCAGATCTCAGACGGGTAACAACTTATAGGACGCTTGTAAATTTGAATAAGAAATCGTCATTTTTTTAAAATTTTTTGTGTACATTTATAACAATATTTGTAGTAATATATCGATTTAAAACATCTATTTTAAATAAGTGAAGAATGTCTATTGATAATTAAAAATTAAGTGAATATAAAATCGTAAACATTATATTATACCAATTTCGTTGTTATCTGTTACGATAATTAAATAGGTACGTACCCTTATTTGATAGAATGTAAATTATTGTAATACAGATCGCCGTTTTTTCAAAATGGGATATTTTTATGTTCTTACTTCTTTGGGTACAGTGGTACACTTAACTTGAAAGTAAAGCTATCCCGCCTAAAGCGGTGTGTTTGGACACTTTAGATATGAACACTTTTTTAACTATAAAATATAAATTAATAATTATAAATCTTAGTTTATTTTCTCTACATTGTGAAACGATAAAATCGGGGAATAACAATAATGCAAATCTACCAATTTTGAAATATAAAAACCTTCATTTAAATTTTATCCAATTTAATTTTTTTTAAAAAATTTAAATATTTTCAAATTCAAATATTAACATACAATTTATTATTATAAGGTTAAAAATTTTATTTTTTTAAATCTGTTTTTAATGTAAAATTTTACAGTTATTATTATTTAAATAATAACTGTATAATAATTTAAGCATCAAGTGATAGACTAAACGTCATAATTAAATTCCTCTTTTATTATAAAACTAACAACTAAGTAAATATTATTAAGCTGTCTATTATAATATACATTGATATTAATATCACTTGTAAATAGTTGTAATAACATGTAAATTTATTAACTTAAAAATCGTACAGTTAAATATTTAATTATCAAGTATTTAATTTAGTTAAGATTTTATTTTTTTATAAATCATGTTTTGATTTTTAAAGATTGCGAACTCGAAATTTTTCCTACTTATGTTTCTTCAATACAAAAAAGATCTTTGAAATGAACTAATAAAAAATTAAACAAATCTTGATGATCTAGAACAAGATAATTATGAAATCAATGATCTAGGAAACTTGTTTGCTGGACCAGCGTCTCCAATCTTGAAAGTAAATATTGCCATTTGTTACTCATGTAATGCATAGGTATTTAAAGTTGAAAACAATATAACAAAAGAGTTTAATGCAATATTTTAAGAGTATAAAAAGTGTAAAATTACTTATATAAGTACTTATAGACTTCAATTTTCTATGGATATTGGATAAGTTATTATGATATAAGTATTATGTTTGATAACGAAAATATTACTACACGCCTGTATCAGCATATCAGCATACCGATTGAGAACTATTGAATTACGATAAATGCGTTAAATTACTTTTTTTTTTTAAAGTCCCTCTTTATTAACGACGACGGTTGAAGCAAAGCATAGGTGCACTCAGATAGTTGAATAATGTTTAAAAATATTTTATATTTCATAATACACTGACCGAATAAATACCTATTATAATGTCATAACTGTAATAATTTTGTTTAAAGGCTAGAATATTGACTACCTACTATTTAATTAGTCGATACTTGATGGTCTAGTGCAGTGTTTCTAAACCGGTGTTCTGCGGTACACAAGTATACTGTGAATTGGCTGTAGGTGTGCCACAACCGTGGTATATGCGTATAGTGTTATTAAGTATTCATTTTTAATTATATAATATATTAATATAAAAAATAATAGTTAAAATAAAAATCCCTTTTTTTGTTTACTTCTTGTTATTTTATTACTATAGTGTTCTTTCAAACTTATAGTTATAAGAAATACGCCGCGAGCATAAAAAGGTTGTGAATCACTGGTCTAGTGAGTAATGACTAACAAATAGGTGTAGTCAGGGAAGCCGCAGGGTATGCAGTAGCATAGATACATAATATATGCAAAAGTGCTATATGGGGAGATGGTAGGGTGTATTTTAGGTCTCCTATTTTATCAGTGTTTTATTAGCTTACCATAAAATTTACAAACTTATTGAAGACCTAACCTGATGTTATACGTACAAGCATTCATTATAAATTATAATTTATAAACAACGGTACAATAAAATATTAATTATACATAATAACGGCTTACTGTGATATATTTATATAAGCTTTTTGCATACCATGAAAAAAGATAATAGTTCAAATTTCATGTATGATTGTATATTTGCGACAACTCGTTTTACATTTTATTTTTTAATAAATGTGATTGGGATTTACTCACACGCTGTATTTTTTCATTTTGACACAAATTTTCAGTAACTATAATATGAATTATTTAGAATTATTTCAATAATCTAAGTGTTGTATACTATTGATAAACAAAAAATTTATAACTAATTCTCAATATTTAGTTTATTAATATTAATATATAATAAATAATTAATAATACAAGCGATTCCGCACGGCGTTGAATGTGACAAATTAAATAATAACAATAGATTTTTACTCTGTCTTAAACTCCGTTAAATAAAAATTACATATATTTTTATTTTTTAATAGTACCTATTTTAAATAGTTTTAATCAAATATAAAATAGATGTTTAAAATTTTAAATTATTTATAATCATAAATTATAATGACTATTGTCTATTACAGAGTATGTATGCTAATAGTTTAAAAATAATCCAACCAAGAAATAATATTTTTAATTTTTACCCCTTTTTACATTTTACACTTTTTAACCTTCATACGAGGTGGCTTTTGGAAAATCCTTTTTGAGTGGGTCTCTACGTCATTAAATTAAACTAATGATCAAATTCAATATGTTTAAAGCTTCAGCAGTTCCGACTTGACGGTAATGAATCAGTGAGTCAGCCAGGATATGCTATTATATATAGATTATAGATAGATATTATACACACGGATTTTAATGATATGATCACCGGAAACCCAATATGAGCGTTAAACATAGATTTTAATAATATGTTCTTTACAAAGGAAATAATTACAATTCGCGTCTCATTTAGTCTGCATAGATACAATAATTGCATGATTAGCATGTGACCTCATGTCAGAGCTCAATGTCCTCGTATAATGATCACGGACCACTGCAGTATCTATTATATATGTAAAGGTAGCCGATTCAAATGGCTGTGTTTTGATTGAAACAATACAAATTAATACATTTGATATTATGTTAATATGATAATATAAAGCAAAATCGTTCACCATATACACTGCACAGTCGAGTATTTGATCATCTATAACAATCAGTTAATAATATTTTTTTTAATCATATAAAATAAAAACACATGTCATGGCTAAAAAATTAAATATAACATATAATAATAATATTGTAGAGCTTTACAATTTTGATTCATAAAATATTTACATAAATGCGATACAAACGCATATAAATAAGATTATATTATATAGGTACTAAGTACAACAATAAAAAATAAAAATAATAAATAATAATAATTAATTACTTAACAATAGGTAATATTAAATAAAAAAATTGTTAATTCTAAACTATGTATACTTACACTATATTAAATAGACATACGGTGTAAACTCTATAGTATAGTATAGCCACTAAAAGATATAATTAAAATTAGGATTTATAATAAATAAATATTAGTTAGGTTTTTGTAAACGCGCAGTATAGATAGGCACTAGACGTTACTCAACATCTTGGTGGATAACAACTAGTTTATAGAACATCTGCTACGATTTTGACAACGAAAAATTGTTATTGGCGGTAATTGGGGGGCCAAAAGTATTCCTATTTTCTACAAACATAAGGTTTTTTGAATATCTACTCGCTGTAGTTGATTTAAACATAATATAAATTAAGTATTTGAAAAATCCCATCGGATTGTTCAAATTTTTGGCTATCTATATGTAGAAATGTATTATAAATATAAATTCTTTAAAAATTTAAATTGAATTTTTATAAATTTTCATTATTTTCAATTATAAAATAATTCTTAAATCTTCAACATTTTAAGTAGGTACTAATATTTACCAAAAAAAATAAAGAATTTTATAATATTATATTTACTATGATTAATTTTAATGTTACCTAGAGTAAACGAAAAACAATTTTTAATCGTATAGATGTGTTTTATGTTGTTACCTACCTCTCTTCTTTAATACTTTTATCCAATTTTCATCCATAAACATGGCCTAGTAGTACTAATCATGATACATAGGGATTATAATATGAATATATTCAATAAAGACAACATATTATAATATTATTCTAAATACTAGTAACTATAATAATAATACGATTAATGACAAATGTACTTATAGAATGATTAGAATACTATTGTGCTACTAACTATTATACTTTATGGCTTCAAGTAGGTTTTACAGTAAAAAATTGATAACTTAAATTGAAATGTAAACATTGCAATAACATTATATACCAATTAAAGTTGGGTTACCTACTGTTTACCAGATCATTAGTATAGTAAATGTCATAAAGAAGTAAAATTGTTCGTAAGTTAAAATTAATTTACAGCACTCAATGAACATTAAGGGGATTGAAAATGAACGTTATTTTTTACAGATACATATTATACCTATATATTTTATCTATCATACACATTCAAATCAATTAAACGAATAAAGCGATAACATTTCTCTTAATTTCTAGAATTTCTCATTTAGTTTATCTGAATTTATCAAGAATACATGTTTTGAAACACATACGAGTATACTTATACCGGGCATACGAATATATAATGCGGAGTACTTGTTATTAGCACTCGCATTTCGCATGTAAATAAGTTAAATAAGTAAAGATAGACACAATAATTAGTAAAACCACGAGTTATTATATTTATTAACAACACGTAGCTACTCCTTTTATGGTTTAACATAACTCGTGGCAATCGTGGCATCACTAGAAACGTGTAATTGCTTGATGAAGAATTTATTTTATTTTATTACTACAACGCCATACAGTTTTTTTTTTATTAAATCAAAGTAGTAAAATAAGATTAAGTAAATTAAATTAAAAATAACAATAGATTATAGTAACTAAATTTTTTTTTCATATTGCCTACATTGAACTCCTAAAAAATGAATTCTGCGGTACAGGGGATTACAAACATATAATTTTTAAGGAGATCAATATAGGCATTTTTTCAAGTCCATGAATGTGGGTTTTGTAAATATATGCGTAATAAGTGATCTTTACTGTATGTGACTGCTGTAGTGTAAAAGAAATAAAGGAGCATCCTTAACCTAACGTGCATATACAAATTAACATGATGGCATCTCGCACGTAAACAATATAATATATTATATTATGCTCAATTGTATGCACTTTTTGTCAATCCTACTAATATAGATCTAATTATGCAAAAAAATTTTGAAAGTTGATTTGAATTTTTTAAGAAGTTTACTTTAGATCGACCAAGCTACATTTTAAGATTTTTGATTTAAATTTCGAACAATCAACATTTAAAATTTATTAAATTTTAAATATTCGTACCAAATTTATGAGTTGGGGAATGAAGTTTGATACCTAATGTGATCTTGATTGATCTTAATTATCCATAATTAACAATTCATATCAGTTTTCAAAAGTATAATCTTATGACTAGATCCATCAATAGGATTGGAAAAAGATTAGTACATTTTATTCTGATCAAATAACTGACTATTTGTAATCTTCTTAATAACAATAATAACAATGAAAAAAAATGATTGATAATTTAATGGAATTTTTCTAATTGTCTGGAAACAAATCGTCTAAAAGTATCATAGAATTCAATCTAAACTATAAGTTATCTTAAGAGAATGTAATATTCTGGTGAACCTACATTTTTTTTAAATTCTGTATAGTATTATCGTCCAATAATATTTCTGTTTACCTATTTTATATGATATAATGTAATATAAAGATCTGGAATCAGCCTTAAAACATTAAATATAATATATTTTGTATATTAGATATATGATGTGAAAAAAAAATAATAATCGTTGTTGGTATATTCTCCGGTTGGGTCACCGTGTATTGAGCGCGAAGGAACTTAGCTGATCCTTAACTGCAGTTACTTCATCGTACTTGTTTAACCGAATGTCATAACTCTGTAGTTTCCAAGTTCTTCACCGTAATTCTTGTCCGTTCGTAGAAGTTATCAGTACTGTCCGTGTGTATGTTGCACTCGTTACTGCAATCGAAAATCAATTCAAAATCTAATTAAGTATAATAAAAAAGTGTTTGTTTGTCTATAATACCAACCTTTTGATAAATAATGTAGTCGTTGACCGCTCTATTGGTTGGGGCGACGTTGTACTGGTAGTAGTATTATCGTCCAAAGAGTCACGTTCCGACGTTTGACTATAACAAAGTAAGTTAAATATCAACTTACGGTTATGATCCAAACAGATGTGCGAGTTTTATTAAAGATAAGAGCTAATTAAATAAAACATTTAATAAGTCAATTTAATCAAATATTTTGTCACGCTCAAATACTAGACAAAATTTCAAAAATCATGTATTTGATTAGTTAATTAATATCTACTAATATCCTTAATATTTTTTTCAGGACTAAAACAAAAATGTATAATTGCAGTCTGCAGGTATAACATGTAAGTCAATACGACGATATTGCATTCTGCGGTTTCGTCAATCGCAATATATTTGAATAATATGCACTAGATATGTCGCATTACCTTAGAGTCTCTCTGTCTTTGTACCATTCGTTTTCATATGCTTGCATCCACATAGGATTTGACCCCGCCACACTGTGCATGTTCGTATTGGGTACACGTCCACCGATTGCAGCTGAATTAATATGATCGGACGTTCTAGGATCTATATAAAATCGAAAAAATAGTGAACATATTTGGATTTTATTATATTAAATTAAAAAGTTTACCAAATGCGTTTATAGTAGCCGCTTTGAGTTGTCTACGATAGTTGGAACGTTGCGACAAGCAAATAGACACGACGACTATTAATAATAACCCCAAGAAAAATGTAGTACCGACCAACCACATCCAAATCACATTGTCGTCTTTCATTGAAGCTCGACGCAATGGTTCTGGTTCAGCTGCTTGTGTATCGAGTACGTTGAACTCCTAATGATAAACCGTCATTTAATATTATAATCTCATAATCAGATATATTAATTAAAAACAAATTACTTTAAACAAAGAATCTAGATGCTCGATATTTTCATCTATAATTCGCAACACATGTGGAACTTCCATAATAGAATTATCGTTATGATTGACAAAATGTAGGTACATGTCTGATCTTGTTTTGTCTACTCTGCCGTCGTGGGTTTCGTGAACTTTGTACTCGTCAACGTTTACTATAGCTCCAGTAACGTTTCCTAAAATTCTATAATTTAACCATACAATCAACACTAATTTTTTATTAATAATACGTAACAAATAAAAATGTTGAACTCACTCTCTAAATATTTCAACTTTCTCTCGAAGCTGTGATGGATTCTGTCGCACAACAAACCTGACTCTTTGATCTTCGCGCAATAAATAAATTAGTACTCGTGCCGTATCGTATAACCCACCAGTATCATTAACCATTACTTGAAAATCAAAGTAACCTTTCATTCCTTTTTGAGGATCAAAATTTAAAAATATCACTCCCGTAGCAATGTCCACCAAAAATGGGGGATATTGTATACTATCCAATCCTTCAGCTAGTGATACTTCCAAAGAACCAGGAACTATGTAATATGACAATTCAGCATTGTTTCCTTTATCCGCATCGGTTGCCTAAAAATAAATTGTGTAAATAAAAATTATCAAGTTAAAATAATCACAGTTATTTTCTATAGTTATATATTGTGTTATTATTCTTACCTTTATTTGCATAAACTCTGTACCAAAATCTGCTTCAGTAGTTACGCCACCGGTAAATACTCTTTTCACAAATTCCGGTGCATGATCATTTATATCATTAACAAAAACCAAAACTTTAAGTAAACTATCATCATCTTGAATAAAACCGTGACTCGGCGGTGGAGAATGCAAACAATCTTCACTAGCTTTCACAATTAGTTCGTAAGTTTCTTTAACTTCACGATCGAGTTCATAAGCAACCTATAGATCATATTCAGTTAAATAATATAAAATGTATTTATATTATTCCATACATAAATATATTTTTTTCTTACAGAAATTCTATGGTTAAGAGGTTCAACAATAAATCGGTTTTCATCGTTTCCAAAAATCACATAGTAACAAACCGGAGGTGGTGTTTTTTCTAAATCATTTAACTCTTCTCGATCAACTGTATCAATAAGTTGCCAGTATTCAGATCCTGGTTCACGGTGTTCTACAATTTAAAAAAATATATTCATCAGGATTTTATTTTCTGTTTACGTAAAGGATAATTTTTTCAAGAAAAACAAATCTACCAGTGAAATTGACGGTGATCTCGTCAATCAAGAATCTAGGTTGGAAGTCGTTAGTACTACGCACGTGAATTGTAAGTTCTAAATCAGATGATAAAGGTGTTGGTATACCAAGATCATAAGCTTCTATACGAATCTATAAATATTTAATGAATAATTAGATTAGAGTATTAAATATTATAAAATATAAACGCCAAGTACCTGATAGATTTTTTGGATTTCTTTGTTTAATGATTTTTTTAATGTGATTAATCCAGTAGTCTCATCTACCATAAATGTTTTCCAATCACCCATTAGATCCTGTTTAAGACGATACCTTACTTCTGCATTTTGGCCGACATCGTCATCAATAGCTTTCACTGTAATTACCGAGCTTCCAATTGTCATATTCTACGATTAAAATTACGACGATTAATAAAAATAATTATTCGTTTATCTATTGATTTATTTTATAAATGTTTTATATTTTAAATTCTTACTTGAAGTAACCTAACGGTTACATTGTATGGAGGTGACACGAAACGGGGAGCATTATCATTGACGTCTGTAACACAAACGTTTACAGTGGTTAAACTTGACTTTTGAGGGTCACCACCATCCTGTGCTCGAATGAGAAGACTGTAATTTCCATAGAGATTTTTTAACGACGAAGTTGTATACAAACGACCCGACCAATAATCAACGTTATGTAAACCGAATAACTCTATAAAATATATATTTATTAATCACAATTCATATTTTCTCAAAATATGAACATACTATAATCGTATGTTAGTTAGTCATTACTTTATTAGTTATTATGTTAAACTTTTAGCTACAAAAAATAGTTGATACCAACCTCTTTCATTCCCATCTTCGATAGAAAACATTATTCGACCATTAGCTGTAGTTGGATCGTCTGCGTCTGTAGCTTTTATCAATAAAATCATATCGCCAACGGTATGAAACTCTGTGACAATGACACATTCGGAAGGTAAATGATCGAATAACGGAGCGTTGTCGTTTATATCAGATATCATCACCCTGTATAAATAAATGTAATTAAAACGATTATTTGAATAAAACATGAAATGTGACGCACGATTGGTACTCACATAATTTGTTTGAAGGCGTTCCGACTTTCGCCGGAAATGTATCCGAACTGATAATTATCCCATGCTTCAACAATTAAATTATAGGTACTTGTTTGTTCTCTATCCAACGTATCGGCTACTTTCAATACTCCGTTATTTGTATCAATTGTGAATTTCCCCTAAAATTAATTGTTATTATGCATTTGAATATTTTTCTTGATTAAAAATCTCAATTATTTCGATTTACCTGCGATGATAGACGATCCAACAAATATGTTATTTTACCAAAATCGCCAGAATCTGCGTCCATTGCTGTAATTATAGCTATCGATGATCCTATACAAATGTAAACGTCATAATAAGCTTTTAATTATTGTAAAAAAAAAAATCATTTATACCAATTGGAGTGTTTTCTGGAATTGTTATGTTGGTGGGTGTATCTTCAACAAAATATGGATTATTGTCATTTTCGTCAATCACGCGTAAAATAACATCTGCAAACGAAGACCGTACTGGAACTCCGCTGTCTGATGCTCGGATAGTAAAATTTATCCAATGTACTTGCTCATGATCAATACGACCCGCCACGACAATTTCCCCAGACTCAGGATCTAGTCTAATTAAATCTGTAGCATCCATTGATGAATCTGAAATATTAATTGGAGTTAAAATTCACCGTTATATTTTAATTAAAAAAAAAAACTTAATTAAATAAACCTTCTATTGAATAATGAATTGTTCTATTTTTATCGGCATCGTCTGCCATTACGGTGATGATAGGTACACCAGGTTGACTGTTTTCCATCACAGTTCTTTTATAAAACTTTTGACGGAACACTGGGTCATTATCATTTTCGTCATCAACATGGACAATTAAAATAGCTATTAAATTAAAACATAAATTACGTATTTAATCAAGTTAATTACTAATCAGTTACAAATAGATGTTGCGTTTTACTTACTTTGAACCATTTGTTTACCATTAACTGCAGCTATGTCTTCAACGACGATTGCCAACCGGATAGTTTCAACTTTTTCTCTGTCAAGTAATTTGCCTACTCTTAGATATCCATCTACGGGATTTAAAGCAAATGCTGATGGCCAATCATAATCTGTAGGTCTAACGATCACTCCATCTTCATTTCTTGCTTCTGAAGCATTCACATCAATTTTATATCTCAACACCGGTTTTGCATCTGGATCTTCTGCTTCAATTTTTGTGATTGCGCTACCAACCTAATTAATATAAAAATAAAATATAGAATAAAAATAATCTATAATAGCTGAATATAATTAGTTACCAACCAATTCGTTTTCATTCATGTGAACCGGTTCCATTTCTTTGAAAAACGGGGGTTTATTATTTACATCTTGAATTTTTATCGTTACATTAACAATACAACTAAGTTGCTGATCACCAATCCCTCCATCAATTGCCACAACTTCTAAATAGTATGCATATGTCTTTGGTTGAGTCTTATCTGGGTCTAAAGATGCTCCATGTGCGACTTTTATCACTCCTGAATATGCATCGATTACAAATTTATCTTCTGCTCCACTACTAAGTCTATATACTACAACGTTATTTGGAGCGGATCCATCTTCATCCCAAGCATTTACCTATTACAATTTGATATCGAACATGAATAACAATAAAACACGACAATTCAAAATACAATATCTTAGAATAATGGAACGCATTTGCATAATTGATAAATTTAGTACAATTTTTTTTTAAAGTGTAATCTTACTTCTAATACAGTGCTACCGCCGACTAAATCTTCAGAAATTATTGTTTCATAACTACTGCTTTCGAATTTTGGTCCAAAGTCGTTAACGTCTTCTACATATACAATTACATGAGTTTCATCGGATAGTGATGGCAATCCGTGATCTTGCGCTTGAATCACCAAGTTGATTGGTCTCAAATTTCCGTTAATATTGTTAGTACTTTTCCGATTTTGTAGCTTTTCAAAGTCTACTGGTCTTATTGGTTTTAGAACACCAGTAATGGAGTCAATTGAAAAACATTCAACTGGATAGTCGGAATGCAATATACGGTATGATATTTCCGAATTTTTTGTACCTAAAAATTTAAAAATAATTAAATTAATACAGTTAGATTTGTTCTACACAAACATACCATTTAAATCTAAATCTCTTGCTTCCACAGTGACTGGAGATTCAAAAAGCAGATGATTTTCTTTAAGTCGTGTTTCATATTTTGAAGAAAGAAATCGTGGTGAGTTATCATTAACATCTTCTACATTGATTATTAACTGAACAGAATTCCTATTTCCTAAACCTAAATCATCCCGTGCTTCGATTGTTAAAAAGTGTTTAGATATTTGTTCTCGATCAAATACAGGTCTGTCAGATTTTATTATAATTTCTCCAGATTCTGCATTTAACTTAAGACTATAAAAAATAAATATTATGTTTTACATAATTTAATCTAATACAAGTGTAGAATTATTACTCACAAATCAGCGCAACTTCCTCTTATACTTGTATACCGTATACCGCTTGTTCCAAAGACACCAGAATCTTTATCAGTGGCTTCAACTTTCCCAATAGTTTTACCGGATACAGAATTTTCAGATACAAAAACTTCATAAATAGGACGTGAAAACTCTGGGTAATTGTCGTTAACATCTCGAATGTAAACAGAAACGGGAACAACGCTATATTTTGGATTTTTAGCTATTGTTTCAATAGCAACAATTGTAAAGTTAATAACTAAAAAAATAAATAATTTCAATAACAATTACTATTTAAGCATATTTTAAGGTTTTATAATTTATATCTACAAGTTTCAATATACCTTTAACAAGTTCATAGTCTAAATCAGCTGTCCTATTCACTCGAATCAAAAATGATGCTTCATTTATACCTTCGGAAGGTGTAATATCGAAGTATCCAATTCGTCCTTGTTGAATTCGTAAACGAAAAGTTCCATTTTTACCTTGATCGTAATCATAAACTTGGGGTATTGAGTCTCCAATAAAATTTACAGGAGTATTTTGTTGGGAATTTTCGTTAACTTCGGCAATGTATTGAGGACTACGAAATGTCGGTGTTTCATCATTTACGTCCGTAACTATTACGGTGACTTCCGTCTTTGTTGAAGGATTAGGAAACACGTTTTTCGATTCTTCAGTGGCCTAAAATATATCAGAGAAAATATAATAAAACTTATTTACAATTGTAAATATGTAAATAACCATGTCACCTACCATAATCTCAATAATAATGGCACCAGTTTTAATAATAAGCGGATCCTCTCGATCCAAAATGTTCGTTGTGTAAACAATACCAGAATTTGGTTCAACTTGTAACATTCCATTGCCCCCACGAGTGATTGAATACACAATGCGATTATCTATACCGCGATCTCCATCAATTGCTTTTACTAATTACCGAATCATTTATTTAAATTAATACATAAAACATTGTTTTTAAACCAAATACTTTAAAACTTTTAACTAAAAAAAAAAAATAAATGACATAAAAAGAACCTTGAATTATTGATGTCCCTGGTGGCGCATCTTCGCTTACTCTTGCTACTGGTGTTACAACAATGAATTCGGGAGGTTGATCTTCAACATCTTGTACTTTTACAAATATGGCAGCTGTACCGGTTTTTCTCTATTGCATTAGAAATGTTAATTTAGTTAGATTAAGTAAACAAATTGTAATAAAATAATGGTTAAATTATTGGTTAATTATATGGTTTATTTTAATATTCAATTTTGACAGTAGAAAAGCCTGTCGTAAATACACAAACCTTCTCAACGGTTGCACGATCAACAGCCAAGATTTTCAATTGATGTAGCGATGTTTTTTCATAATCCAAGCTTCCCACAAGACGTATTACGCCTTGGCCATTAAGTGTAGATATCGAAAATAATCTACTTTCTATTGAATCCGAGTCTTGTAAATGGTAAACCACCTACGTGGGTAATAAATATAAATTTAATTATACTATTTTAAAAACAATTATCATTAAATATCGATAGGAATAGTCTATATTACGGAATATAAGTTTTACTTGGACACCTTAAATTAAAGGTTTCGTTGAGTCATACATTGTTTACTATGTTGTAAAAATATGGTCTAATGAACACTGTACATAATTTAAATAATGTGTTTATACTGTACAGTGTAAACGAACTTGAACGAGGGTGATAATCAACAGACCGTGAAACCCTAATTTGTTGCTATGTTACCTGTCCATATGGGCCTTCATCTGCATCGGTGGCCTCGACCGTTGCAATCACCGTGGGTGGACTATCCTCAGGTACGAATATTGTGTTTTGATATGGCTTAAATATAGGCGCATTGTCATTTATGTCATCCACAATTAATAAAAAACTTTGAGTAATAAAATTTCCATCTCCCAAGTGACCATCAGTCAATGTCAACACAAGTGAATATTCATCTTTAGTCTATAAAATAAACTCTTGGTATGAACTTAATAGATACTTTAAAATTGTATTTACAAACATTAATTACCTCACGATCTAATTCAATTTTTAAATAAATGTTAGCTTCACTTCTCCCAAAGTTTTCAACTCTTATAACTTTATCACCTGGCTCTCGAACACCAAATATTAATTTATCGGCATCGGGGTCAATACCACGAACCCGATAAATGAGGCTTCCTAAAAATGAAGGTTACAGTTATAGTCTTTAGATATGTTATTTTTTTACATATTTATAACCTCATGGTAAATTTTACTTACCAATAGGAGTCTCAGGACCCTCTTTTAGCCGAACAATAATTTCGGTTTGCCAGTCGGTAACAAATTGTGGGGGTTTATTGGCTACAGAAAACTGTACTAAAATCACTAGTGACAACCAATATATTTTCCAACCATTCCGATATACAACCATATTTTGTCCTTGGTCGATGACATTATTTGCCGTTTTTCAACTTGGCATGTTATTACGATTAAACCTTGCCAGTTTCTATAACTGAAGTCTGAAAAACACGTAAATCTTAAAATTGAATAAACGTAATACATTATAAAAGATAGACAAAGTACAAAAACGTTATTTTCATATGTTATACGGACTTCTCGCAAGTCGACGAATCGCCTTTTTATGATAGCGTTTAGACATAAACGAATATTTCTATAGAATTGATTTCCACGGTTCATTATTTTATTAGTTTCAAACCTGTATGGTTGTCTATTATGTTGAAAAAATGGCATTCACGTGCATTATTGTCATCAAATATCCTCATATTATATAGTCGTTATTTTATCATAAACAGTTAACGTATACCCGAAGGAGGAATCGGGACCGCCATAGTAATAAGGCCTGGTAAATCGGTAAAAAAATAATATGGACGAGAATGTGATGGACTCTAGATGGTATAAATAAATAATAATGTATTAAAATATAGGTTAACAACGAGATGCCTGCAACGGTTGAATGATTCTCAACATGAATGCTGACGAATCACGGTGACTGTGAAAAAAATTAATAAATAATAATGTATACATTATATGTATATACAGTGTACACTATACAGCAATCATGAGGATAAACAAAATCTCTGTATAGTACGTGGGATTTGACGATTTCACGAAACACCTGCTCTCAAGTTGTGTTTATCAAAGAATGAAAAAAGTCATGGACAAAAGTCCACATTTTTATCCAATTAATGAGATCGCAAAATAACTAAAACTTTTTTTTTTATTCGCATATTATTTATCCATCAATAATTATTACAGAAGCAGGTGTTGATGCGTTCTATTTTGTCCAGCTAATTCATGATTTTGCTTTGTCACTGTCAGGGCTTAACTAAACACTAAACCATTCGGGTTACATATTTATTAATTTATAAAAGAGTAGGTTTACAATTAAAAAGAAAACACATACAAAATAACGATTACAAAAAACAAAAAAATAGACGACAAATGGCTTTGTGTGGGAAAACACAGGTTTTGTTGAGAATATTGTTGTGATAGATGATGTTCTTGACGGTCGACAATTCTGAAGATAGTGTTTTACATCAAAAAGAATGAATGACCGTTATATATAGAGAAAGTGTTGACTAAACTGTACGTCAAAATGTATAATACTTTGAATTTATATACCCAAATATGTTAAGCTAATAAATTATTATATAAATATATAATATGTTTTAATTTTTCACGTATTCATGGACTTCGACAATTTCATTTAAAAAAAAATTTATATGATTGATTTATACTGATACATATATTTTTATAGTATTAAAACTAGTGGCTGAAATCCTTCATATTTTTTAAATTATAACAAAAATGGTTAGTTAAAAATATTTAAATGTTTATGATCATAACCATTAATTATACTTTTAAGTTTTATTACCTTACTTACATCTTAATATAGAAAAAATAATATTCATGGATACTATACAATATGAATTACTGGTTAAAATCTAATTTATAAAAGTTACTTATTATTTTTACTATAGCTGGAAAGTATACTTCAATACAAAGTACAAACATATATTTATATAACTATATATAATAGTAATCCAATTATACATATCGCCTAAATTTGATGGAAAGTATGACATATTAATTTATTTTGTTCCAGTTACTTTCTGTAGCATATACATTACATTAATTTAAAATTATTGTCACGGTTGAAGGGAATTTACGTAGGTATTATAATATTATATTTATGATTAATGATGAACTAAACGCAAATATAAAATAAAACTATATGAAGTAAAATAATTATATCTGTAAATATTAATTGGGAATAATAAATGTACCAATAAATTAGCAGTATGATTAACTTACAATTAACACAATTGATTTTTAAATGAAACATTCTACAAAATTATTTAGACTTCAAAAATTATGTTCATAAACTCATTTTGATTATTTTTATTGATAACACTTTAATATAGAATTTAATAGTTGTATTGTGTCATTAGTTATTAAATATAAACAAAACCTAATAATAATTATAATATAATAAAATAAAACAAATGTATGAAATAATTTTAATTTTTTTTATTTGCCTGTTTTGAAAAAAATATGATTGTAAAATAGCGAAAGGTATTAAAAGTTGGCTCATATCTACAACATAAAACAATTAAATAATATAAAAATCGAAACCTATTTTCACAAATAAAAATAATGTTATAATTAATAAAATTAAAACATTGTTAATGTGTAATCTATATTGCAGTATGCGAAGTTTTATAGATTATATATACGTTTGATTTTGTTGTAAAATTTTTACACTCTTATAGGTAATAAATTAGTCTAGATTTTTGTGCTGTACTCCTGTTTTATAATAATCAATTTAATTTTACATAATTGAATGCTTTTTGATATATCTACAAATCACAATATATTATATACATTATTATTATTCTGAATAACAATTGTTAAAAATTGCAAATAATATGTATCATTATATAATCATTTTGGCCAATCAAATATTCTCTGTAGTTTTTATAAACCTACTTTATACATTTCTATATGTGAGTATCGACTTTCATCTGATAATTTTTCAAAGAAACTTATATATTTTTCTTGCGTAAGTCACATGCACATTTATAATCGATGTTTATTTTGTTCCAATATTATTTTTTTCTCTATCGTAGTTCTAGGATAGAGGCATATTATGTCGTAAGATTATAGAAAACTAAGGCAATCTGCAAACTATGAACTATTCAACTATAGATGTATCTAGACGCCGTACATCACGAACACGATGCAAGGATATAATAACAGCAATATCTTCTTATTAGATTTAGTAAATAAGAAAATAATACACGTTGCCATGACAAATCGATGATATACATTTTACCTCTTAGGTAAGAATTAAAATAATGGTTATAACATAAAATATTTTCATAAATATTTTGACCTACTTTTATTACTCAAAAACTGTATAAAAAAAAAAAAAAAAAACAAACAAGAACATTATTGTCTAATTTAATAAATTAAATAATTATATTATATACGAGTAGCTAGAATTAATTATTTTTAGATATAATTGAACATAGTTTTAATTATGTATACAAAAATGCATTGCACTCGAATAAAATAATTTAATAATTTTTAATAAGTCTATACTTGTTATATGTTTTAAGTGTATAGTTTAAAATTTAAGCCGGCTCAGTGCTGAGCAATCAATTTCAAATAAGGGTTAAATAAAAATAAAAATATTGATTAAATTCCTTTTAATTTGCTACGTATGTTGTTAAATCATGAAGGTATTATAAAAATAATAAAAGCTACCAATTTTAACATTCTAAAAATGATGTTAAACCCATAAGATCAATGATTTTAATCTGATAATATGCTATATGAAAGTTTTAAGCCAACAAAATTGCTTAATAATAAAATAAAATAACATTTCGTAATAAAATCAATGGCTTATACATATATAATTCAAAAAATAGAATATATTGACGTACACTGTAGGTATAGTTTATTGTATATTATATTATATTTATTAATATTGTTACCTTTAACTTTTAAGATGAGCAAATATGTAAATTATCATAACTCTGTAACTACTCGTTCAAATTTTGATTTAAACTCATCAATCTATTAAAAAAATCATCTGTTTTACCAAAAAAAAAAAACTGATTTTCATTTGAAAAAAAATAAGTTTATATCGTCACAGGACACTCTTTAAATAGAATAAAAATACAAGTTTTTAATAACATAGAGTTGAGTTGGCTTGTTAATTCACGATTTATCCTGCAGTGTGTTATATTTTAAGTACCTGTATTGGTTACTACCAAACTCACTTATATTATTCATCAAGGCAGCATTTTGATCATATATTTTTGAATACAATCGTAACTGTTGATTAAAGCTAGTTTCATTAAATGCACGTGGTAAAATTAATCACTAATAATGTTTCCAAGATCTCCAACCAGTCACCAGACCATAGAAAAGTTACATTGATTGGTCAGAAAACGTGGATAAAAAAAAAAATAATTGGATGTGCTATAGCCTATAAGGTCGTATAAGTAGGAGGTATAAAAAATACTATAGGTATTCAATTGTAATTTGTAACAGTCATCTAAGTGAAGACTGCAGTTGAATAATAAACGATAATAATGAAATAAAACGCTATAAATATATTTACTTCAAAATTATCTTTTCATTTTTTTTCTCACTTTTTAACGGAATATCAGCGATTTTAGTTTTTAAATCACACCACAATCTTTTGTTTCAATTTCAATTTCAATTTTTACATTAATCATTGAATATAAAAATCGTGATAATTTCGAAATGAAAAAAAAAATCGTTTAGATCCATTTTTAACAATAGTGTATAATAATATACTATACCTATTTATACTTAATGATAAAGCATCGTTATTTTAATAATAATTATAACCATAGGCCAAAGTTTACACACAATCAACGAGCTATAAGGTCATCCCGTTGGTTTATTTTTTTAACTCTTGTAAATCGAGTGCACAGAGTTCACATAATATATACTGTACACTCGGAGTCCTACTAAATTCATTATGATATACCTAACTCAGCTGTATAGGTGCCGTTTACGTGCAATTTATTATAGATATAATAGATTGTAACACAATATACATAAATATATATACACCTATATAGCCTACGATAGGAGTTAGCTATTATTTATTATTTACAGTATTATTATTGTCTCATGACTATATCGGTTTTCACTTATTGGCTTATCCAATTAACCAAACAATACGCCACGGCCGTGCAACTGTTTGAGTATAATATATATATAATATAAGTTTATTATATACGTATATAATGTATAAAACCCTGATAGTTTGTGCATGCGTGTTTATGAGCTCATAGTATACCTACCGCAAGAAGGAGAATAGGTAATGTTGAGAAAGTATACGATATTGTGATCGTTCCGATATCGATTTATTTGTTGTTGTTTTTCACGAACCGGCTTACAAATAATATTTATTGTGGTGTTATTTTCATGCATCATATTGCTATTGCAGATGATA